GAAGTGAATCGGAAATGACTCAGCATTTGGAGGCAATGCTGGGATGCTTGCCTCCAGCCAATGAGGGGAAACAATGTGGGGAGGGGCAGGGTTTTGGCAGGGCAGCCATTGCACTTTAAATAGGGCTGCACGTGCCTCATGGGCTCATTGCGAGCCAGGGACGCGAATGGGAAGGGAGCTTGTGTGGGAAAGGTGCCACCACTTGGGAAAGAAACAACAGGGTTAGGGAAGGGAACTTTTTTTTTTTTGAAGGGAACAACAGGAGGGAACAGGTGGTAGCTATAGGGAGCATACAACACCACCATTGAAACAGCTTCATTGGCTGCCGATAAGTTGTTGAGCCAAATTCAAGGTGCAGGTCATGACTTATAAAGCCCTAAACAGTTAGGCCCTGCCTATCTCCATGATTGCATCTCCTTCTATGAACCGGCACGAGCTCTAAGATCTTCCGGGGAGGACCTCCTCTTGGTCCCACTACCGTTGGTGTCTCCTGGTCAACAGCAGAACTGACCCCTTCTGCTTGCAGTGGCTGCTGCCTAGTCAATCCAGATCGAGAGCATTGTTTAGCAATATAACTAAGGTCACTGTGTAACTAAGTATCTGATCTAAAATTATAGCTTCCTTTTGGTATAAATCCAAGTAATATAAGAATCACACCCATTTTTGTCACCCTTTGCTTTGTCCTGAGATGAGCCTTGCTCTCACGGACTTGAAAAGAAGGCATTTGGGTTCCAAAATATCCTTCTGGCCCAGATTCTATCTTGGTATATCACCTAAGGCTTCTACAAATTTAGATGTGAATGTGTTTCCTTTTCTCCCACCCTCGAGGGCCATTCTCTGCAATTGTGTATGCATAGAATTCCTGCTGTCATTGGTGGGGTTTTTTGGAAGACGGTTGATGGTAGTTCATTAAATTCAGGTCAGGTTGCCTGGGACGCATGGGCTCTCTCGCTTCCTCGACGCCTACCTGTTACTATTTTTTGTCTGCCAGAGAGCTCTCCCTGCCAAAGGTTGTCTCAAAAGTCGACACAGTGTGCCCTTACAATGCCAAGCTCAATAAATCATAACTCACCTGCGGTGCTGGGAGCAGGATTGAATTAGCCAGGCCTGGGTGGCCTTGCAACAATTGTGCAGTTGCACAAACAAATTAAGACGTGACAAGGCTTTTCCTGTCTGGAGAGTCCACGCTGGTGTTAGGGATTATATTATTTCGCTCTTCTTCTTAGATACCAAAATAGGAATTTTCGAGGTTGGCTAAACAGAATCCTTTGGAAGAGTCCATGGGCAATGAAGTGAGATATATATGTGTGTGTGTGTGTGTGTGTGTGTGTGTGTGCCAGATTTGGTCTAGTTGATGAAAATGCATCCTGCATATCAGATATTTACATGGCAATTCATAACAGTAGCAAAATTACAGTGGTGAAGTAGCAACGAAAATAATGTTATGGTTGAGGGTCACCACAACATGAGGGACTGTATTAAGGGGTTGCGGCATTAGGAAGGTTGAGAAAATCTGAAATAGAGTAAATAAATAAATACACAAATCATGAGATTGACATATGGTTCATTGGTGTCGCTTTCTCCACAGGAAACTGATTTTGCAATGATCCCCTTGCCAGTATTGAGAAGACATTTTCACTGTGGTCATTGCAACAGGCTTATGTTATCTGCTGGATTGTGTTCCTGGATTCCCTGTGGCCAGTACCAAAATCTATAAATATTGAAGTTCCATTACAGTAGAGTCTCACTTATCCGACCTTCATTTATCCGACATTCTGTCTTATCCAACAGACGTCACATAGGGCTGGGCGGTTTCGTTCGTTAATTTCGTAATTCGTTATTAATTTGTTATTTTTTTTATAACGAAGCGATATTGAACCATTCAGGAGCAACTAAAAAACGAAACGAATTTTTCCAATTCATTTCGTAATTGTTTCGAAATTGTTTCGTAATTGTTTCGAAATTGTTTCGTTATTATTTCCGTATGTCTGGTGCAAGTTTTATAGTTGTTGTTTGTTTTATCAGTGATAAAAAAATAAATTATCACACCAACAGTCAACAACAGAGGGAGAGGGAAGCTTCAGAAGTTCCCCCTGTCCCATTTGGCGGGTTTTTTAGCATATTGCGCAATCGCGTCCGCCATTAACGAATCGATTCGTAATTGTTTCGTAATTGTTTCTTAATTTATGAAATTTCGT